CCGCCGGGCCAGCAGCGGCCACCGCCGGCGCGATTTGCGGCAGGCTGAACGGCAGCTCGGGCTGCGCGCCGACGGCCTCGCAGATGGTGGTTGTGCGGTGAGCGAGGGCGAGCAGCTTCGTGGCGGCTTCGTAGCGCTCGTGGTCCTTGCAGGGCGGCACCTCCCTGATGGATGCAAGATGGTGAATGGCCGGACTGTTCGCTCGCGTCCACAAGCTTGCATGGGTGCATGCGCGCATGGGTAGCGTGTGTATTGGCTCGCCTCAACACAACACACTGCAAACCAAGGCGCAGGCCGTCAGCAGGCCGGCAAGCAGGGGGGTGGTGCACAAAGACTTGGGGCCGGGGATTGCCGATGCCATGATCAAGAGCGTCGACAGGTCGCCCCCCCCCCCCCTTGTTGCCGCCGCCCACCAGAGGGTGGAGAGGTGCGTGGACGCGCCCTGCAGCACTGCCGCCACGCCGCCGCGCAGCTGCGCCACGCACTCGGCCGCCAGCTTGCGCACCTCCTCCTGTGGGGTGACGGTGAGTTGCGTCGGTGGGGAGGGGTGCTGCGAGCATTTGTGGTTTGGCGTCCAAGCGAGCGGGAGGGTTGTCGGCGGGGATTGAATGTTGCGCGTCACCTGTATCACCTGGGACGCGTAACAGACAGCCAACAACAATCAGGACACACATCAAGTGCAGAGCTGCCAGTAGGGCGGCAGAGGGCGCGACATTGGATGAGCTCAAATCAGGAGGGCAGCCCTGCCCATCTCGACACGACCAGGGCGGCCCGGAGGCGCCCGCATTCTTCCAGTTGTGCTGCTTATGTGCCGCCCGCTCGCCTGCATGGTGTTGATCGCGCGCGTGAACATGCCGGCGTGCTGCGCCGCGTTCAGCTGCTCTACCATGCGGGTGTGCATCCGGTTGTAGCTGCCGCCGCCCCTGAGTGGCGCAGCGCGCGTTGAACGCGGTGCGGCGAGCAGACCTGGGTCAGTGTTGGCGTCAGCGCTGCGCGCGCACCATGCGTCGATCGCGCGCACACGACGACGCGCTTAGAACGCTACGGCCGGCCATCCCCGCTCACGCACCTCTCTGCTGCGCATGCTTCATAGGTTGGATGCATTGTTCGGCGCACCTGACAGGATGGGGGGATGATTATGTACAAGCAGGTGGATGTTGCAACATGCAAATTTGCAAACACCCTGCCACAACGATCATTCTGAACGGAATTATGGCGGGTGCGGACCAACAGCTGGGTTCCGCCCCACAGGCCCCGCTGC